TAGATCCTCCATCAGTGTCAGCCATGAGGATGAGTGATGGCCATTGCTTGACCAATTTGATCTCTGTGAAAGCCTGAGAGAATGTTTTTTCTCTCCATGTGACTCTCCCCAGGCACACTATACATCATTGATCACATTCCTCTGTGGCTCCATAATCTCCTTGACCAGAAAATTTGGAGCACAACTGAGTTACATGATGTTACTGTACAGGTTCTTCTATGTCCTGAGTCTTCACTGACCTTGAAAGGCTATGGCCAAAATGTTGACTGACCTTACAGCCCTTCCTTTTCTCCAATTTTGAACTGTTAACTTAGGTTGTTAACTCTCCAGAAGAGAAGCTTGTTATTAACCTGCAATATATGCAGTTTCAATACATTGATATTTAATTTCTTTGTGAGATTGATTTCTTGGTATTTCTTTTTTGGGGGATGTTACTATTATTTTTTTCTTTTTTGGGGGGATGTTATTTTGAATGGTGTGCTTGCCCTAATTTTTCTCTCAGTGAGTTTGTTATTTGTGTAAAGGAAGGCTACTGATTCTTCAGTGTTGACTTTGTATCCATCCAGCTATGCTTCTTAATTTGCTTATAAATCTAGAAGGCTTTAATGGAGTTTTTGTGGTCTTCTATGTAGAGTATCATATAATAATACTCAATAACTCAATACAGTTGATAATTTAACTTGCTTCTTTTCTGTTGCTATTCCTTTTATTTCTTTCTTTTACCTAATTACTCTGGCTAATGTTTCCAGAATTATATTGAGTAGGAGTGGTGACAGAAGACAACTTCAACCTTTTCCTCATTTTAGAGTGAAACCTTTCTGTTTTTGTCCATTTAGTATGATGTCACCTGTTAGTTTGTCATAAATGGCATTTATCTTTTTTCTTTTTTGTATTTTAGTACAGGGTCTACAGGGTCTCACTACACAGATTGGATTCATAGTGATCCTCCTGTTTTCAGCCTCTCAAGTGCTGGGATTACAGGCACGCGCCACCACACCCAGACTCATTCCCCATCTCAGCACACATGGGGGGCGGGACTGGCACAGCAGGCAGGGGATCGAACTGGTCACTGCACCTGCCTAAGCAGGAGCTTTAGTCCGCTGAGCTATCTTGCTTACCCTTTTTATCAGATTTAAAGACGATCAATTCAAATCTTTTGTTGACTACAGGTTCATAAATTTTATTTATTACCAAGGATTGAACTCAGGCCCTTGTGCTTGCCAAGGAAGTGCTTATTCTACTGAGCCATCTCCCCAATCCCATTGAGCCATCTCCCCAGGCCCTTTATTTTTTCAAAGAACCAACACTTGGATTCATTAATTCTTTGTATTGTTTTATTTGCCTCAATCATGTAAATTGTACTCTGTCCTTGATAGTTTCCTTTCTTTTTTGGTCTTTGGTCTTGACTTGCTCTTCTTTTTCTAGAAACTTGAGGGATAGTATTAGGTCTATTATTTGTGCTCATTTTGCTTTCCTGATGTGAGAACTCACACCTATAAAGTTCCCTTTTATGTTTGCTTTCATTGTGTCCCACAGGCTATGCTAGTTATATTTCAATTTTTATTTGATTGTACATGTTGTTTAATTTCTTATTTAATTTCATCTATGACTTACTGGTTGTTCAGAAGTGTGTTCATTAATTTCCATGTGTTTCTGGAGTCTTTGCCATTTCTTTTACCACTAACTTTGAGTTTCATTGCACACCAGTCAAATAATATACATGAAACAATTTTAATTTTTCTGCGTTTACTTTACCATACTCTGTGATCTATTTTAGAGAATGTCCTGTGTGCTCCTGAGAACATTGTGTATTCTGATGTTCATGGGTGAAATACTCTGTATACACTAAGTCCATTTGTTCACAGGTTTGGTCAAGTTCTGTTATACTTTTGCTGTTTTCTTTTGAAAGTGAAAAATACATTTTAATTAACTTTGTTGAATTAGCAAACACTGTGTGTTAAACAAAAGACATGGGTTTAGCCAAAAAATATGATTACATAAAAATCAATATTTTATAGTAGAGCCTACACATACACAGTTCAGATGTTTACATTTACTGAAAAACACAGAATTAATTCTCCATCTTGCAATATTTTTCAATATGTTCTGAAAATTTTATTAACTATTAACATCACAATTTTTATATTATTTCTCCAGGTTCCCACTACATAAATAATTTGCACAGCTTTTAAAATATGTACATAAAAATAAAAATATATACATAGTGTTTCTCCCTAGTGTAACTTCTTTCATGTATTTGACAATAACCATATATACTGAATACTTTACCATATTGCTTCAGTACATAGGCTTTCACCCCAGTATGACTTCACATATATATTTTACAATAACTTTGTGTATCGAAAAATTTCCCATGTTGCTAACATACATACGGAATTTCCTCACTGTGACTACTTTCATGTAGTTTATAATAACTGGGTTTAGTGAATGATTCCCCACACTTTCATTCTTAGGGTTTCTCTATCAGTGTTGGTTCTTCTGTGTCTATGAAATCAGGGCTTTGTAGTAATGTTTTTCCATACTGCTTACCTACAAAGGGTCTCCCACCTGTGTACATTCTTTCATGTGTTCAACAAATACTTTCTCACATTGCCTAAATAGGTAATGTTTCTCTCCAGTGTGGGTTCTTTCATGTATTTTTCACCAGCTCTGTACTGAATACTTTTCCACATTGGTTGCAAACATAAGATTTCTCCCCACTGATATTTTTCCTGAATTTGTCAATAACTGTGTGGCAAATGCCTTCCCACATGGCTTACATATATAGGTTTCTCCCTCATGCGAATTCTTTCATATATTTTACAGTAATTCTGTGTATTAAAGGTTTTTCCACATTGCTTACATGCATAAACTTGCTGCACAGTGTGAATCTTTTATGTATCTGGCAATTACTGGGCTTCATGAATTCTTTTCCACATTGCTTACATACACAGGGTTTCTTCCCAGTGTGAATTATGTTTGTGAATGATATTACTATAAGCTAATTCTTTCCTTAGATACAGAGGAAATCTCTCCAACATATTGTCTTTCATGTATTTGATAATGATAATGATATGAATAGAAATATATTTCCCATATAGTTTGTGGAATATAGATTTCTCCTACTGTGATTTCTATCATGGCTTTGAACACCACTGGGGGAGGGCGGCTTTCACACTTTTCTTATTAAAGATATCTTCTCATCAGAGTGAGTTCTTTCATTAAGATCAGAGTAGATTTTCCTGTTTTGCTCATATTGAGAAGGCTTCTTCCCAGTCTTTTTTCTTGCATGCTTCAGAAAAGACGAGATCATTACAGGTTTTTCAATGTTCATTATATTTACACAGATTGTCATCAAATCCCACATACTCATCTGGCTTCAATTCACTGTGAGGTGAAGTAGCCACATTTATAGTGATAAGTACCCAACCAGGGGCTTTCTAAAAATGACTTTCAGTTGCTTTAAAGCAACTAACTTCATGTCCACATTAGTACCTGGGACTCAAATATTTTTTCCTATTGATTCCAAGCTTTGTATTGATCACATTTGCTACCTCTTCATTTTTAGATTTCTTGAGAAATCTTTGCAGTCCTCTTCAAGTTGCTGGTTATCCAAGGTTCCTTCATAAGAGCCATATTCATAAATGTTTCCCACATCACATCTTTGTAGAGCTTCTTTTGGGATGAATTCAGCACAGCCCACTCCTCTGTGGTGAAGTTCACAGCTCCATCCCCAAATGTCACTGCCTTTGTTTTATGCTTCAGGGTCTCCAAGGAGGCTTTGAATGCAGCCTGCAGCTAGTAGAAGGTAGAGCAAAATGTAGTCTAGTCAGCTGGGTGCTATAAGAAATGCACTTAGGATGCACACTTGGGTTCTATGACACGGGAAGTTTTTTTTTTTTTCATAATTTTTTTTTAGTTGATCTATCACTTTGTGACAATGAGATATTAAGATCCCCATTACAAGTGTGTTATTACTTATTTTATCTTTCTTCCTTTCTGTCTGTCTTTCATCTATCTTTCTTTTAGTACAGGGTCTACAGGTTCTCACTACAAGGATCAGACTTGTAGGGATCCTTCCTGTTTTTCAGCCTCCCAAGTGCTGGGATTACAAGCATATGCCACCATGCCCAGTCTCAATCGCTGTCTCAGCCAACCCCGGGGGCAGGGCCAGCATGGCATGCCAGGAATCAAACCCTGATCCCTGTGCTTTGCCTAAGCAGGCACTTTGATCTGCTGAACTATCTGGCTGGCCTCCTATTTTTCATGTCTATTAATATTTGCTTTATGCAGTTTGGTGCTCCTGTGTTTGGTGCATATATATTTATGATTGTTATCTATTCCTTTTGTCCTAGGTGTGTTCTCTTATATATTTTAAAGGTTTCATGATGAGTAAATGCTTTTTGACACATATTCCATTTAGATGGCTTCTCTGCTGCGTGTGTTCTCTCATACCTTCTAAGATCATATTGCCTATTGAAGGCCTTCCCACATACAAAGAACTCATATGGATTTTCTCCTGTGTGTATTCTCATATGAGATTTCAGACTACATGAATTCTTGTACATTTTCCTACATTGATGACATTTATAAATCATTTTATCAGTGTGTGTTTTCTGATTCTGATAACATTTAGCAGATTGATTGAAATTTGTTCCCAACACGTAGAGTTCATTTTCAGATTCAGTCATCTCTTGTCTTAATTCAGACCGATATATGAAGGGTTTACTACAGAGATTGCCTTCAAGATGTATCTCCTCATTCTGAGCATTTTCCTGCCGGGGCTTGACAGTGTTGGTTTTCTTCTTTTTCACAGGTTCAGTGGCTATCTGTCCTTCTTCATCAGGGCTGTTCTTTTTCTCTGCATTATGATTTTTTGGGAAAGCTGTTTGTTCTCCCTTCCACAGGATTTGTGTTTCATCCTTGTGAAAAACAAAATCTGATTTGCCATATGGACATCGCAGGGATTGCAGGTTCCTGATGGTTTCCAGCATCACAGCTCTGTAGAGCTTTCTCTGTGCTGTGTCCAGCAGAGCCCATTCCTCTGGGGTGAATTTGATGGTCATGTCTTCAATGGTGATTGATTCCTCTTGATGCACTGCCATTTGTAGTTTCCTGTAGAGGTTAACTGACAGGGCAATCAAGATGAAAACATGGAAATTTATGAGAAGAATTTCAGACTACTTGAAAATTCGTGTTGTAAGCAGCAGAAAATCAGTCACTCCAAGCTTTGCGATCTAAACCCTCCGTCCAATGATCTCGGTGGGAAACTCCAAAATGATACAGGGAGAAAAACTGGTCTTGGGTGGGTGACCTCCAAACCATACAGGGAACCTCCAAACAACTTAGAGAAAAATAATCTCTGGACCTGACCTGCATGAGTTCCTGTTCTCTAAAACGGAAAAATGAATTTTAGGAACAAACAGAGGCTATGAGCAGAATATATTTATTGATAGAAAGAAAGCTCCTGTCCTGAGAGAGGGAAAGGAGCGGGGGCCCAAGCAGGTAGTTTCTATCTATTCCTTTTGAATTTTTCTCCTGACAAATGGGTAGTGTGCATCTTGATTTTTTTGATCATTCTTGGTTCACATTGTCTCCATACAGAATAGGTATCCCTGCTTTTTTCTAGGTTCCTGCTGCATGGAGTAGTTTTCCATTCTTTGACTTTCAGTTTATGAGCTTCTTTTTGAGTTAAATGTGTTTCTTGTATGCAGAATATTTTTGGATCTTGTTTCTTTATCCATTCTTTCAATTTGTTTCGATTTGTGAATTGAGGCCATTTACATTGATGGTTATATATTGGCTTATTTTTACCATGGGTTTCTCCTGCTATTGGTTCACTCTGCTTCCTCTTTGTTTAGTTCCTTGTCCTGCTTGGTGGTTTCTTTCTGATGCTACACTTTAACTGTGGTCATTTTTATTTTTAAAGTATCTTTCAGTACTATTTGTAGGGTTAGTTTGGTGGTCATAAATCTCATTAGTTATTCTTTGTCCTGAAAATATATTACAAAAAGGTAGTTTTTCAAGGTACATCAATCAAGGTTGGAAGTTGTTTTCTTTCAGAACTTGGATCACTCCAAGCTCTTCTTGATGTGAGGGTTTTGTTGAGAAGTCAGCCATAATTCTGATGAACTTTCTTTATAGTTGATGTGTTTCTTTTCTCCAACAGCTTTTAATATTATGTTTTTTGTACTGAATTTCTAGGATCTTGATTATCTTATGTCTGAGTATAAATTTTTTGGTTGCAGTTGTTTGGAGTTCTATATCTTTTTGTCATATTCTGTTCTCGTGCTTGGGAATTTTTCTGCTATTATTTCTCCAAATACTCTTTCTGTGTCATTTGTGTTGACTCCTGCCTTTTCATTGACACCTATCAATCTTATTTTATTTTTCTTTGCATTATTTTCAGATGACAAATTTTTACTTACTAGATACTTGTTATTTTTATGAGAACTTTCCTTTTATGATCACTTGTGATCTTGTTCTCAAGATCGATTTGAAATTCTATCTTCAACTTTGCTCAAGTGGTTTTGCCAGTTTTCAATGCAGTTTTAATTTCCTGCTATCTCTGAATGTTTCATGTATTGTATTTCTTTCATATATTGTTCATTTGTTTTCATATGTTCTTGTACTTTTTAAAATTTATGCCTTCTCTAGTTATGCTGAGCAATTTCTTCATTATTGCTGTTATTTCCTTTTTTTTTTTTTACTCAAGAGATTATTTCTGATTTGATTCCCTCCATAGCCTCATGGCTTTGTTTTTTATTACTTCAGTTGCTATCATTTTGGGGATTTCAGATGTATGCCTTCCAACTTTTTCTTTTTCTTTTCTATTTTTATTAATTTTATTGAGAAACAACAATGAGACAGTTTCAAAACAGGTTAGTAAGACAGTTACATTAATTAATACATTGCATATTATTGTCTTCGTAGTAGTTATTCACAGTAGAAGATGCATACATTATATCCTGTCCAAACACTATTAGTACAAATCTTTCTTCTCAATGAATTAAGAGAAAGTAGCTGTATATCCATCCTAACTATTTTATATATACAGATACAAAATGGTCCTTCATTTATATCCCCTTTTTTGTTTAGCTTTGTCAGAGATGGACATTCTATTGGCATTTAAATATTGTAGGTTCATGAATTCAGCAAAATAATCCAATTTAGTCCAGTAGTCTATAATAGTAGTGGGTTATACATAGCAATGACAATGTCAGAAGTTGTTGACTTGAGCCTTTCACAGCTCAGCATATTAATATGGCTTTACTTTTTATAACTTGTTCTCATACTTTTATACTGGATGGTTAAAATCAAGATAAAGCAAGACCTATATAATAAGAAATGTAACTTCTGTATCTGACAGGGTTAGTCAAATCCCTCAGGATTTACCCTGAAACCCTGTACAGCAGTTTGTAGATCCTTTGTTAGTGACAGCCATGTAGATAGTCACGGCCATTGCTTGATCAATTTGCTCTCTGTGAAAGCCTGAGAGAATGTTTTCTCTCCATGTGACTCTCCTTAGGCACACTCTACATAGTCAATCACTTTCCTCTGTGGCCCCA